AGGCAGCTGGAGGGAGAGGATGAGACAGCAGAGGTCAGGTGGGTTTAGGCTGCTCTAGGGCTGTGATCTGCCTTCTCAGACGAGGCTGATGCAATGGCATGCTGCTGCTGAAAGTGTGCAGTGCCCTTCCTGCCAGCCCTGCTCCAGAGATCAGCTCCAACGCTTCCTGGCTGACATGAAAGCTATAATTTAGCTCGCTAACCCTGCAGGAAACAAATGGGTAGTTTTCTGCTGGACTGACAATTTTAGATAAGCTGTAAAGCCCAATTCAGTGCCAAAGCTGGCACAAGGGAGCAGATGAGGCTGTGCTGCTGCAGATACGAGGAGAGGACATGCAGGGCACCCTGTTTGGGTGTCAGTCAGCTCTGATACCAGGGACCACGTACCATGCAACCAAACCTTCAGATGAAGGACTGCTTTTACAGCTTTTAATCATACATATGTTAAAAAAAATTAAAACACGAAAAGTATATGAAAAGGAAGGAGCATGTCTTAGGTTTTTCAGTCAGCTCATGCTCACAGTCAGGCACAGGATATAGGGTAATACAGACCCCTAGCCAGACCCCATGTGGATATTCCAGAGGTCCTCTGAAGTCTGCATGGGTAGGTACTGTAAAAGGCAGGTGAGTTTTTCTGATTGATGGTACCCCTGGTTTTGAGGGATAAAGTTGTCTTTCCTCACTACAAAGGAATTATTTTCTGGTCACTGATTAAAGCAGACTTGCCAAGAATGATGTCCCAGAGTGGTTGAAACTGCTCAAGTGGACAACTGTAAATGTTGAAATGGATTTGATTTCATCAAATGGCAGGGGGGAAAAAAAAAAGGTAAGAGAATTGAGACATTCCTACTGAAAACTTTTAAAAACATAGGAAATAAATGGAGAGCTAATACAATCATTGTCCCTTTAGACTGGAAAGTAAACTGAGCATTACTGGTCAAGTGCAACTTCATCTGTTAGCCAGATGATCCTTCTTCTGTACTCATGTTGTGTAAGGGTGTTCCCATTCCAATAAGAGAGTGAACAGTGGTGGTGTTCCTCTGTGAAAATACAGGGTTAATCTCAAGGTGTTGTGAGAGCTCCTTATTGAAGCATTGGCAGCACATCAGTATTTGTTCTGCAGATTAGGCAAGAGTTCCCGGTTTAAAAAATGTTGGGATCATTGAAAACAGCATTATTTTGGTGCCTATAAGTTCTTCTTAGGCAAGGACTCACAAGTGCCAGGCACAATACAAATGTAGCACAAGAAGACAGAACCTGATGTCAGTGTTAGCATTTATCTGCAATATAAAAGCTGGACTGTCTCTTTTTGAAAGTATAGCGTTCAGGAGCTCCCTGCAGGAAGACTTCTTCCACAACAGCCTGGTAGGGTGTGGCTTTGATGAGACAAATCCCTTGGTGCTGTGTGTTATCACTCCTCCTTTCCCTGGCTGGTGCTATTCCCAGCACTTCCCATTGCTGCATGCAGTGCTTCTGCAGTCAGACTGAAGCGGTTCAACTCCATAATCCAATGCATGAAGACATCCAAAAAGTTTTTTCTCTGGACCGTGGAGCTCATCTAGAGTCCATGAGATCAGCAGGATAAAGGCAGGGGAGCAGGAACATATAGCTGGGTAAGGCAGGACTGTCTTCTGTCTAGCATGAAGAAATTAATCTAGAAGATACAAAGCAGACTAAAGCAGTCTTCCAGTATTGCCACAGAAAATATCATCCCATGGCCAAACCTCTTTTAGTTGCTACTTTGATACCATGATAATAATAATAAAAAGAAATTTCTCTGTCCTTGGACATTTAACCACTAATAGTAAACAAAGTGAGTCATGAAAAAGTGTACAGAATTACAAAAATCCTCACCTGTTTTTTTCAGTGCTTACCAGAAAACCTGGCCCAAAAATGACTTAAGCAGAGAGTATAATTACCTGGAGGGAATAAGAGCTGCCCACAGCAGTGTTTCTGGAGCTCTCAGAAGAGACCAGCCATTGAGTTGGGTTGTGTGGGTGCCTCATACGAACTCTGTAACTTGGAGGCCTGTGGGGTCCTGAGTGAATGTAACAGGGTAAACAATTCATATTGTAACAAAACAATTATGAGATGTAACTGTACTATATTAGTATTGGTTGAACAACTGTTTGTTATATACAGTTTGTGAAACAGAGAAAAAAAAAATCCACTCTTCTCCCTATTTTTCAGCCTTGAGATTATTAGGTCCTTACTGCCTCTAGTTTTGACATCCAAATTCTTCTCTTCCTTTTCCATTCTCTCTTCATTTCTTTATTTTCTCTTTACTTTCTATTGTCTTCTTCCTCTCCATTCTTTTTAACTTTTTAAAGAAATAACCAACAGTTGAGTATTAGAGACTTTAAAAAAAGTTGGACAGGTGAACTCTTCTCAGTCTGGATTTTCTTTCTCAGGTCTCAGCTGTTAAAAGTCTTGTTGCAGCCTGTGTTGTTGTGGTATTTCAACAGAACCTGTTTTGTTTTTTTTTTTTTATTTCAGAATCTTCTCGCTTTGATTCCACCATGGAAGGACTTGTTGGCCACCAAGGATTTTAAATGTGAGGGGTAACCTGGAAGAAAGAAACCCCTGTAGCTTTTTTTCTTTTCTTTGTCTGTCTTCTCTCCCAAAGCTCCCCAACATCAACCTTTCTGTCCATGTAATAATGATCAAAAATGAGATAACTTCGGGTACAGCAAAATATCACTTTCTGAAACCATTTGGGATTTACATATTTATATATATTTATATATGTTTCTTTAAACAACCTCAAGTGTGGTACAACCAGTTTGAGAGCGGAGATCAGAAGCATCTGTTGCCATGAGGTGTGAGCTTCAGGCTCTGGTACTTAATGTATTTGTATGGGGATCTAAGATGTTGCCACACAGTGATGCTTGCCTGCAGGGAAAGGTGCCTGTTACATGTGCCTACTTCTGCCTTTCACCCTGTCAGTCATAATTACATCCTAGTCCCTTTACAACCTCAAGTGGGATAAATCTTCATCACTCACTCCTAATCATTCATCCAGGGGTTGAATGATTACCTTCTTTTCTCCTGGAATGAGGCTTTATGCTTCCCTTCAGCTAGACTCATTTGGGACTACAGAAATAAGAAAATTTCACTGTAGACCTGATTCAAACACACTGGAGGAAGGATGTATATGGTTTGTGGCAGACTGAGAAGATGTATAACTAGCACTAGTAACTAGTAATTTGATGTTTCTTTTAGAGGTATTAGAAATATTTACATATGTAGAATGAGCTAAATTATAATTAATTATGAAGAGCAACCTCTGTCAATTATGAGGCATGCGTAAGGCTGGACATTCCTTTGTAGGGAGGAGAGACATAAAAGACAATTGTCACCTCACTTAACTGTGAAAAGTGTGAGAAAAAATGAATGAGAAGAAGAGAATGGTTATGTCTACTTGTCAGATATATTTTCCACTTCTGCAGCTTGCAGATCCAGAACATTTATCCATTTGTTCATTCAACTCCTCTTCCTCACCTTTCTCTGCACCTGCTGACAAGCCAGGACCTGACTGCACTCGTGCTGAAGCTCCACTACAGTCTAAATTGCCAATGTGTCTCCACTTTCTATCTAAATGCTGCACCTACATGTGAGCAGTTAACAATGTACGCACTTCTAAATTAATGTTGTACCACTGGAGTAATTTACTGGCCACGCTGTCTTAATGCATTTCCCAGGTACATGTATGTGTTTTCCCTGGCTGGGAATGTGCTGCTCTCCTACCAGCAGAACATTATACAAAATGCAGTGGGGAGGAGGAAGGTAATTCATGCCAGCTCTAACTGCAGCTTCAGGCTTCAGTGAGGTACCAGTGGCAGCAGAAAAGTTAGTTTGATTTCAAGAAAATGTCACTCAAGGATTAATCCTGTCTTCCTACTTCTGTTTATTGAGAGAGAAATCTGAATGCCTTCATTTTCTCTAACTGGATACTGACCTTACAGAAGGCCTAAAATAAAAACCATTTTCGAAATCTCACAGTATTCTTGTATGGGCAAATCATGTTGTGTCTCCTAGGAAGTTGTTGCCAATTTCAGTTTACTGTAACCCTCCCCTCCACAGTATCTATGAATTTCAAATTTTATGTATCTTTTTTTCCTGCCACTTTTTTCCCCACTTGCTTCAGCTTCAGTTAGCATTGGTGTGCCATGTGCCCAGGAGCTAAGCTTTCTTCCCGTACATGAACCCTCTCCTTAGCACTACTGGCAAACGTCAGAACCTAAGGCTTCAGCCTTGAGGTTTGGTGGCAGTGTGTCCCTGTGGCATGCCTGAGGCTGGCTTCTAACCAAGCTGGGCTTGACGCTGTGTGTGGTTCTGAGAGGGAGAGTGTGGTACCACACCAACTGTTTTGGGGTTTATTAGAAACTATAATTTCTTTTGGCTTCTGTAATGATCAAGTTAATGCAGATCAGGTTTTCTTTAGAGGAAATAAATCTTGTTAAACTTCCTTTACTTTCTCATGTGACAGTATGTTTGAAAAAAAAAAAAATTAGGTTGATGTACAGAGTGTGATGCACAGGGTCATCCGTGTGATGCAGGGTGGTTGTTTACCTACATCCCCTTGATGATTCCCTATCAGGCCTGCCCTGTAGGTTCGCAGTTCGTACAGGCAGCGCATGGGATTGAACACTTTCAGCGCTGGCTTCTGTTCTCCTGCCTTTGAGAATACGGAGATTAATCCTGATTTTAATTAATCAAAGCTGGTATCTTTGGGCTAAAGTTCCGGGTTGAAAGCGAGTGCCGCAGCTGAGAGCTCGGCGGCCCGAGCCGCAGATGCCCGTCCTTGCCTGTCTCTCTCCTTAAGGCAGCTTTCGTTTCCGCGGGGCAGAGGTTCGGCCGCCCGGGCCATGGAGGGACGCGGGTTCTCGCCCGCCCGCGGGGGACGTGGGACTCGGCCCCGGGGCCGGGGTGGGGGCCGGGGCCGGGCTGGGCAGCGGCTGCCAGGGACCCCCCATCCCGGTCCGGCCCCGGCCCCGCTCCCCGCCGAGCGCGGTCCCGGGGCGGCGGCAATGGACGAGCGGCTGCTCCGCGCCCTGGGGGGGCTCAGCCTGGGGCCGCAGCGGGGCCGCGGGAGGCTGGTGCTGCTGCGGGGGCTGCCGGGCGCTGGGAAGAGCACCCTGGCCAGGTAAGAGTGTCCCCCGCCCTGGCTCCGGCCCCGCCGCAGGGTATGGGGTGCGGGGGCAGGAGCGGAGCGGCCGCAGGGGCCGAGCCGGGCGGTGTTCAGGAGCCGTGTGCCCGCCCGGACCCCGCGCCGAGGAGCGGGGCACGCTGGCTGCAGACCCCGCAGAGGCAGCGCGGCAGGGCTGGCCTGGGGGCTCGGGGGAAAGCAGGAGCCTCGAGTGATGGCAGCCGCGCGGAAACCCTCCGCATCCCGGCTCCACGCCCGCTCCAGGCTGCGCTGCTCCTGGTACCTGTGGCTGGTCTGGGTGCCTTGCCCGTGGGACCGTGGGTGCTGCTGCTCCCAGAGAGCGTACTGCAGGGAAGCTTCTAGGAAGCTGGACTGAACACTCCGACCAAGGTGGTGGTTTATTTTCTAAAAAGCGTCAGATTGGTGGTGGGGCGTTTTTCTTTGATGTACTTTGTTGTTGTGGGGTTTTTTGTTTTGGTTTGGGCTTTTTTTTCCCGGTTAATCACAAACATAGTAAAGCACTTCCCCTCTCTGACTGAAAATTGACAACCACTCTGACTTCTGTTTTTGTGATGCCCTGCACTCCTGGTCAGAGCTGTAGGGCTGAGTAAAACATGAGCAGAGGAGACCAGTCCACTCTCTGACAGACCACAGACTGGTTAAAAAGAAGTGGGAGAACCCAGTGTGGAGTGCTGGGAGACAGCACTGCAGTGGGCGTGACACAGTGTAGCTGTAATCTTGTATCACAAAATCTCACAGTCTGGTATCACACTGCTCGCAGCGCCACCCACTCTCTATCAAAAGAGGAACATTCACTGTCTTCTTAACTCTGCTGGGGTGAGGAACCCGTGCTGGGGTCGTGGGCTGCCCCAGAAAGGGCTCTGCTGTGAGAGGTGGCAGCATGAAGCTGAGCGATACACTGGGTTCGTCTACAGTTTCCTTTTCTCAGTGCAGTACTTCCCTGTCACACTGGGCCTTCTGCCTCACTGCACTTTGGCAAGCGAAGTTCTTTTATAAGTGGCCAAATGCCATGTTTTACTCACACCCAAAATACACGTCTTTCCTGTAAGAGGCTGTGTAAGTGCAGGCCTGCTCCTTCAGAGGGGTTGGGTCTTCTCATAGCACAGTAAGAACGTAATGGTTTGGGGCCATATTCCCAGGCAGCACAGGTAACTGACCTACTTTTTAGGTCAAAACACAAGGTTAATTATTAATGACAGAATTACAAAATCAGGTGTAAGAATTGTTTTAGTTCCCTGTGAGATGAATGTTTGAGTATCTTACTCTGTTTCCAGCCCCTATTAATCATATCATTACATTTAGCTGTTCAGAAGTACACAAGTCAAAAGGCATCTGTTAGAGCAACATTTAATACCTCTCCATTAACTCTGTCCAGATATGGAAGGACTGTGCCAAAAAACTTCTTTTGTTATTCTCACACTGTGTAGCTTGTGGTGTTGGTAAATGCAATGTGCCAAGCAAGGCAATGTAAGAACCTACTGGAGGAGAAAGGTGGTCGTTTACTTGCAAAAGCCCTCCAGAAACTCGTTTTATGGATTCAAATTTATTTTCTCAGATTTTACTCACAGTATCCCAGCTAAATACCTGCAGACACCAAGATGCATGTGCACAGATGATCTGCCCCAAATCAGAGCAGTCAAGGGCCTTCAGCTGTCCTGTCCTTGCTTCCTCTGCTGGATTGCTCTCGGTTGGTAGTGATGGGGTGAGTTTTGGTCAGATCTGGTGTGCCATCTTGCAGCCAGCAGCTTCTATGGCTGCTGTCTTTTTGCCTCCAAATTCAGCTTACTTGGTGCTTCATGAATCTTAGGTGTTGTGGTTTTTTTTCCCCATTAGTTTTCCCATTTTGGGTGTGTTTTCAGACTCCCCACTGCTTCTGGAACGAGAGGAAGGAGACAAGTGTGTATGGGCTGATGTGACCTGCTGGCCACCCTCCTGCTCTCAGAGCATGGGTCTTCTTGAATGGGTCCCTGTGCTGGGCCTCAGCTTAGTTCTGGCCTTGGGGGTGTAAGCAGCATCTTTCCCAGTCTTATTGCTGTTAATCATGTTCTTGGCTGTCAGTGTGTACCATTGTTGTAGCCTTTGCTCTGTTGTTTCTTATGATGCTTTCATACACACCTCCATTAATTAATTAATTAATTAATTAATTCTTCATATCAGCCAGCATTTCAGTTACAGCTTGTACATCTTTACAGTGCTCAGAAGTCACAAACTGCGCACTGGTGATATCACAGCCCAGTCATAGCTCCAGGAGAAAGGCCCCTTTTCAGTTCATCACAAAATCTTAACGAACAAACTCAGATCCATGACTTGTTTCCCTGACTTTTCAGTGTCACGCAGGTTAGTTTGGACATAGCTTTGTAAGATTTAGGTACAGCATCTTCATTAAAATGGTTTCCCAACCCCAGTTGTTCTCCCAGCTCAGAGCAGCCCAACGTTGGCATGGATCGGTTCAGGTCTGGTTTTTCATTTCACATCTCCAGCAGTCTCCGTCAGGCATGTGTGACACGCTCCTCCTGAACACATTCTCAATTTCACAGTACAGGTTTTATGATCAAACTGAGGCAACTACTGAAAAGACAGTTAACTGAGATTCGGTAGCAGGTACAGCTTCCAAAAATGCCTCCAAAAAGTAAAATGAGCTGCATACAAGCTCATGCCTGCTTCCCCAGCAAGTTCTTTATTGCATGGTAGGTGCACTTCTAGCTTTCCTACAATACATTGCTGTGTTGCACAGCTCAGCTTACATGTAAGCCTTTATAGAGCAGTTTAACTCAAGCGTTAGGCTGGGCATGATCAAACATGTAACTTTTCAGCCACTGCTGTTCATTTATAGCTTGAAATGAGGTTGTTCTTGTACTCCTTTATGAACCACAAAGGGAGCAATCTTCCAGAACAGAAGAGAAAAAACGTATTGGCACTGAGGCATCACTGCTTGGTGTAATCCACATCTTGTCCAGTTCTCCCTGCTGCTGTTGCCTGGTTCATCCCAGCACCTCCAGTCCTGGCCCGACATGTCCCTGTAACCAGCACCCGAACCCTGACCAGCACCTGACCCCGTTGCAGAGCTGCAGCTCTGACAGGTTCAAGGACTTCAGCTCTGCAGCTCCTGCTTCCAGACAGCATCGTATTGTAAACATTTCCCCTTGTATAAAACCACTTCAGGTGAGTCTCCTGAATGTGTTGATCAAACATAACATCAGCCTGTTTGTTTCTTTACAAAATGGAGCAATGGCTCAAGCCCCCATGGGTGAGGCACAAAGGTGTGTCTGTGCTCTGCCAGCAGCACCTGGCTGGCACCATCTGGGCAAAGTCCTCCAGGCACTAGAAATTGTGCAAACACTGTAGACGGGTGATAATGCTGAGCATGTGCTCCAGATCTCACAGTTCTGCTTTTCTGCTGAAATGAAAGGCTTTTAAACACCTTTTAAATGCCTGCCACGGAACACTTTGTGTTGGGAAGAGTGACCAGAGCAAGTGGTTGCATGTGGTGCCAGTACATGTATGTTCTGGTCTCCAGGACATTGGAAGGTGTCTGAGAATTTACTGACTCTGAGATCTGCCTGTCATAGCACTCTGCTGCCTTCTGATAATGTTCCTTCCAATCTGCTTAGCAGGCTCATCAGAAATTAATTTATTTTCAAATTTTCTGATGAAAAAGCATGAGAGCCTATGGAATACAGTTATGGATTGTTTTATCTCCAATGATTATTTTTACATTATTATAAAATTATTTATAAAATAATTATTATAAAATTGTTATAGCTAAAATCAGAAATAATTGTTTGAAAGCCCTAAAGATGGTCTTTAGGAAAAAAAGTGACTTCAAGAATTGTATAAATCCTGGGAACAGATCTTCAGATTAATAATGCAGGAGACACCTTTAACCCATCTGTCTGCTCACTGAGGCAGCTGTTACAATGCTGCCGTGGTCAAATAGAAACAAAGCTGTATTTTCAACAGAAAGAGTCTCCTTTTTTGATCTCAGCAGCCATCACAAATGTGGCCAGGGAGAGACAGCAGATGAGTGTCCACTGACACCAGCCAAGGTGCTGTGTTGTTTAGAAGCGTTGCTGCTACCTGGGCTGCCAGAGGGGTTGGTGTGGGCAGGTAGTGAAGCTTCTGCCTCTGCAGCTTTGTGTCTTTATGAGTTCCCAGGCCCTGATATAGATCATGAGGTTTACCACTGTTGTGTCGGAGCTGAAGAACTGAAGCATCTGAGTGTCTTTTTTTCTCCTCAACTATATCGTCCAGTCTAGTGAGACACAGTACTACTCTGCCATGCAGAAGGGGTAGAAGGGTGTTGAGATTTACTGCAGGCAGAGGAAACATCCCCCACGCTCTTCTTACTTTCTTATCCTTTGTATTTTCTGAAACAGCAGCAGACTTTTCTTTAGGAAGATATAGAGTGTACCACATTTTGTATCCACTGCAAGATGGAGAGATTGTGCAATCACTGTGCAGTTACATGTCCCAAATTAATACTGAACCTTTGACAGATGCTGCCTGTCACAACACAGTGCTTCAAGTTCAATGGTTTCTTTATAAAATGCTAATACAGCTCCTAGGTATCCCTTGATCTTGCAAAGAGATTCTGTTCTTCTTTTCCTCTTTAGTATGCTCTATGCTTACTGATCCAACTGCAATGGGTAATTTTATTTTTACATGGGGCTGTTCAAGATTTATGCAATAATAACAGTGGTTACAAGCCCTCCCATTTTGCATAGCTAGTGTATATTTTTTTAAAATGCAGGCATTTTAATTGCATACAGTGATTAGCAGCCTGGTGCGATTATGCAGAACCTTTCTTCTAAACCACCCTGCAGTCCTGTGAAGATGGTACAAGGCTTATTTCTTAAGAAACAACACCAAAGAGGTTTGGGTGCCTTTTGAAATGATAAGGGACAGAAGAAACAGGATTTATGTCAACTTCATGGGCAATAGGGAGGGGATTACAGAAATGTTGGTAAACTTCAGTGACAGTTTGGTTGTTTTAGAAAGCTAAAAGTTAAAACCAGCAAAATAAGTAGAAGGCAAAACACTTTTTCCCCCACTTAATGTTCTCTTATGTTGCTGTTAGTAGGAGCTTGTTTGGTATGAATATAGCAAATGGGAAAGTAATTTATGGCTCTTAGCTCATTTTGTGCCATATTTTTCCTCCTTTGACACACAAGTTTTATTTACTTTATTATCAGTATCAGGATAGTTAGGCTGAGGTTACAGATAATCACGTACAGTTTAGATTGCTTCAGGGTTAATATCAAAACTCTCGTGAGTGTGCATGTATGTGTTGAAAATTCAGTAAAGCACGTGCTAAGAAAATGATTTTAAAATTTGCACTGGTTGAGAACATGTTTAAAAGAAATACTGAGCAAGAAAAAAATAGTCTTGAGATCTTTTATTAATGTGTGCAATTTTATGTGCCTATTAGTAGCTAAAGAGACAGGCATTTTAGCAGGTATTTTTTTAGAGAAGAAATTGCAATGGGTAAAGCAGTGGGAAAGGCGAGGTGCTGAACTGTGAGAGATGAATATATGAGTTTCTCAGTGCAGGAGTAACCAGATAAGCATTAGGTGCTACCATGCTTTTCATGGTAAGAATTCTTTGCCTAGGACCAAAACTAAAGCAAAAATAATTTGACTGTTTGCTAACAGTTTGAAGCATGAGTTTTCTTAAATCTGTTTGTCCAGCAGGAATTATGCAATTAAAGCATGTCTTTGGAGCTGGAAGATAACAAAATGTAGGTGCTAAATGACACTTAACAGTGGGCACAGCCCAGTCCTGGCTGTCAGTCAGCTGCGAGCCTCTGTTCTCTGGGGGGTTGTTACCACAAAATAATATCAATTAATCAGCAGGTAGGAGTTACAGTGAGTTTACTGAGCCAAGTCAGAAGCTGACCTCTATTCAGCTAAATGCAACCTGCAAGCCTAGTGAAGAATTGCTGCTTGCAGGCAGATTAGGGTAAAACTGGTAAGTAAATGGTTAGGACAGAGCTAGATGACAGAATTAAGCCTTTTCTGTCTGTGTGTCTGTTTTTTTGCTGATAACCCAAAGGCACCTTTTCCCTTGCTGTTGCCCATGTAGATAAGACATTGAGAAATAGTTGTTTTGCAGCTCATTTCAGCATTTTATTAGGGAAGCTGAAATGAGTCACAGGGACAGGGAGACCATGTGAGATGTGAGATAGCAGGGCAACAGCATTCAAGTCTGAGAGCTGCAAGGTTTCTTGGTTGACCTTTCTTTTCCTGAGACAGTTTGGGCCTTAGGGAGACATAGATTAGAGAGATGATGCCATGGGCTCTCCCTGACTTCTTGCAGAGACTCCCTCCTCTCCCAGCACTTCTGTGATTAAAAAAAAAAAATAGCCAGTTCTGTCTATGGACACAAACAAATCTGGATTATAGAAAAAAGGGAATACAATTTCATATTAAGATTTTTTTTTAATGCTCTCTAAGGAATGGCAGAGGAATGCTTCGAATTTAAACCACCTCCACAAGCCAGCACTTCCACCTCCTACAGGCAGTCACTGCCTTGGAGGCAGATGGTCAGTTTACAGCATGCCAGGTCTGCAGGAGCATCGCTGTGGGACACACATGGGTGTGAAGGGAAGGGGGTTTGCCCTGTGCCACTGACCACAGTGGTCTGTTTTATGGATGTGTAGCATTTGGGACTGCCAATCTGGCAATTCAGATGTGTTTATAAAAACACATTTAAAAGCTGAAAAGATATAAAAATGACTCAATTCTACAAGAGCAGGAGTAAGTGAGATAGGGACAAGTACAAGAACCATAAAACTGCAACAAATAACACAAAATATTGACTTATCACTAAGATACTTGTTTGCAAATAATAAATAAATAAATAAATAATAAGTGCTATCTGCTTTCTAGCTAAAAAAAGCCCCAACCACCCTAACTGATGGTACTCTTGGCCATCTTAACTGAATGACAAATCCTTCCTCCTTATCTTCTGAAATCTTTGTAGAAAAATTCCCATGGTCAAATTGGTTTTTGATACCAACTTCCATGGGATAAGCAGGTTTGGATTGTTGGTGGTTTTTTTTTTTTTGTCTTTACAATCCTACGTTCTCAGACAAGTCAGAAAATTCTCAGATAACTCAGAAGGAACACTGAATATATTAACATGATAAAAGACTTGTTGGTAGTCCAGTGTAGATTGCTGAATTAAAGAAATCAAGGCCATGTCTTCAAGCTCCATTTATTTCCTCCTATATGCCCATCTACTGATGATTGCAGTATTTTCAGATCCTTCACGCTGGGATTTTTCAAATGAAGCACTGTGCATACTTGCAGGGCATTCAAATGGCTCTTGATTTAATGGTCTCTGTTAAAGGCATGTGCTACCATATACTAATCCTTCTCTCACCTTCTTTTTTTTTCTCTGCAGACAACTGAAACGTGACTATCCCAGTGCTGTAGTTCTTAGTACTGACGACTTCTTCATTGAAAATGGTGTATACGTGTTTGAACCTGACTTCCTAGAGGATGCACACAAGTGGAACCAAAAAAGAGGTGGCTGAACTTCATCCAGGGGTTGTGAAGAATAGTTTTGCCTCTCAGTCTGTCTTTAAAATTAGCCCCCAAAATAAAATATCTCAAAGTGATGTCATACACTGCAGTCCATGGGGTATTGGTTGAAAAAATACATTTGCCACTTCTGATTTTATTTCTTCTGACTTATTAGAGAGAAATTTGTAAATGAAAAAATGCTGAGGTTGATAGATGTTATTTTAGAAAGTAAAAGCAGCGTCTGTTAGGAAGCACTGCTGAAGCTTGGTAACAACAGGTGCCATACAGACACCAGCTCAGCAGCTGCTCCCTGCAGCTGTAGGCACCTCAGCCTTATGACTTTAACTTCTTAGATGTCTGTCCTGACCTGGAAGGGGGTGTTATGGAGTGGGGAGGTAGTGATAGACAGGAGGAAAACTTGCAAACTGAGTTACGAGTTTGAGAATTAAGCAACCCAGGTCTCTCAGAGAGAACAACGTAAAACGCTTTTGTGGCTATGTTGTGAAGGAATTTTTGGCAATGACAGACATACTTTGAGATGGTATAATGGGTATCTCCTGCAAATGACAGTAATTTTTAGCTGTTGCAAGTATGTTCTACGAGAGCTTCAGATGGTGCTGCATAGCACAGCCAGCAGCCGCACCACCTGCTCCGGGAGAGCTCCAGCTGGGCACTGACCTTGGCTCCCGTTTGGGTGGTGGCTGCAAACCCAAGTCTGGTGGGGAAACAAGCATGTGAGCAGTGGGCAAGAAAGGACATTTGGAGGCTAGTAAGGGCTGGATTAATCTGTTATTTGATACACCTGAGCTTTACGTAATGTGTTACATTGCAGCACGCAAAGCAATGAAGAATGGGAAAAGCCCGGTTATTATTGACAACACCAACATCCATGCTTGGGAAATGAAGCCGTATGTGCTAATGGTAGGGAAATCTCTGATTTATTGCTTTTATATGCTCAGCTACGACATTTACAAGGTGATCTGACTGAAACGGTTCTTAACATGGCTAACTTCACTTCTCCCATTGTTCTCTAATTGTAGTGGATATTGTGGATATTGTGACAAAGTAGGGGCAGAGGTGCCAGTGTAGTTGTTTTAGCCAGTCAGCTCTATAACTCAGTGAAGACAAAATGGCTTGAAAAGATTAACAGCCTTTGAACCTCCCCTGTTACTTCTTGGTCATCAGGATGTCATCCCCTTTCCTGGTAGCGACAGGAATTGAACAGTTCTGTCAATTGTTTGTTGACAAATATATCAAGATATGACTAACCATTTTAGTTCATAAGTTGTGAAAAATACACCATACAGAATCTTTGAAGATGCATTGATATCTCTTGTCAGTAGTTCTGGCAGAGATGGCAATATTTTTAGTAGAGTTGCAGAGTGTGCCCTGTCTGCTAACATTAAGCTTATGATTCTCTTCGTGGGTTATGGTCTTGTCAGTAATGAATTTTGGGTCTAAGTATTGCTTAGCACAAAAAAGGCAGGAATTAATGGTCGGTGCTGGAAAGCCTCACAGCTCTAGCAGGAGTTGTAAATGCTTGTGGGTGAATAAGAAGCAAGTAGAGGGCACAGACAGAGGTGGGCAAGATGTAAAAATGTCAGTAAATTTCCTTGCCTCCTTCCCCAACTCAAAAGTAATCAATAACTGTATTTAATACATATATGTATATGTATATGTATGGTTTTGGGGTGTGTATGTACATATTTACACACACACACACACAAATATGTTCCTTTACCTTGAAAAAAATGGAGTACTGTAGACTCATTGGCTGGGAATAACATGACTGATAGATGTTGACCTACACTCCCAGAAATTCCAGACTGGCATGGTCAGCCAGTAGCTCTTGAACCATCAGTGACTTCAGAGAGGTGAAGTGCCAAGATGCTGTTGCCATGGGGGATGGGGACCGGTAGAAATGCTGAAGCAAGTTTTGCTGGGAGACCCAAATCCCTTGATGTAGAAGGAAATGGACTAACTGGAACTCAGACTGGCACCATGATGGCAGTCACAGTTATCATCCTCTTTCTGGCTCCTGGTACATAGCATAGATTACATCTCTTAGCCTGGTAAAATCTCAGGGGGTCTGGAAGATTAGCTATTCCTGAGCTCAGCAGCCACACGTCTAAAACTTCTGTGTCCCTCAGGCACGTGAAAATAGATATGAAGTTACATTCCAAGAACCAGATACACCCTGGAAGTTCAATGTTCGAGAACTGACAAGGTACATATTTTTCTCTTTGATATTGCAGACAGCTTCTCATTTTGTTGATGTGTCCTGAGAAAGGACAGTCTTCTTCCTCTTCATATACCCTAAAATTAGCCTAGTAAATGGCAACAGAACGATTGTTGTGGAAACTTTCTGGTACTGAGTACCTGGTCTGTAGTGAATTCAGCCCTGAAAAGGCCTGACTGTGCTAAAGTGAGACAGGCAGTAGTGAGAGCAACAAGGCCTTTTTATGCTGCAGGCTTCTTGGGGCAGAAACCTCAATTTTCATTCTGTATTTTGAGCAGCAGTCTTTATGTTTGGGCACAAAACCATATCTAAGCACTACAGACAATTTTCAGGCTTCTATTCTTAAAATCTAACCATAACAAATATTGTCTCTCTCTAGCATGCAGGGATGATACATTGAGTGTGGCTAGGAAACCGGGTTCTAGAGGATCTTTGTAAAGACCTCTCACACACGTTTGATACAATAAATTTATCAACTCTGCGTAATGTGGTAGAGCCACATTTGGCTGCCTTTAAATCCTGAGTATGTTAGTTTGACTAGTGACTGCAGGGTTAATGGTTGTATCAATGAAAAAAATTCATGCAGGCTAATTTCCTAGCCTTCATCCAATCCGATGTAAAGTACATCACAGTGAACTCCTGCCTGTCAAACCCAGAAGCTAAGCACACGCCAGCTTATTTGTTATTGCAAGAAAACAGGGCATGGGTACTTCATTGCAATGGCTGTATTTGTTTTGTACCAGCCAGGAACTCCAGTCAGAAGTTAGCACTGCACTTTTCTGTGTCTGATGGAGGCAAATGGCAGAGGGCCATGGCCCAGAGCACTCGTGGCTCTGGGGTGAGGCAGGACATGGCAGATGATGGCTCGGGGGTTAAGGACACCAAAAGCCTTAACTGTCAACTGGGTCAGCTCTTGCTTCACCAGCACCAGCCACTTATTTGTAGGGCATCATCGCTGCAGAGGCAGAATTTAATCATTCATTGTAGGCTGAGTAACTCAGTAACTTGCATTTTGTTTTATTAAATATTTGAAATTAATCAGCTTTTTACAGCAGCATCGTAAAACCAATTCAAATACACTCAGTTTTGGAGGTCTGTGGCAAATGGTTCGGGGACAGCTGCAGGTTGCTTCCACAATGCTTCCACACGGTGTCTTTACCAGCAATAGGGTTTGTGCTGGTTTCTGGCCCAGGCATGGCCTGCACATGTGCAGGGCTCTGGCTGCTGCAGGACCTCATGCCCACTTCACAAGTGGGATGTGCAGCTGGCAGCCTGCTGTGTTACTGTCACCCTCATTCCACTATGAAAAAACACATGTTGAGCAGTGCAGCATTTGCACAACACAAGGTTTCAAAAATATGGATGCAGGATAAATGTAGATTCTAGATCACAAACTGTCTTACACAGCTAAATGGCAAGCCCAAAGATATTCAGGGTTTGCAGACTCACAGACAAACAGAAATTCCTGGTAGTCTTTAACAAACAATTTCCACTAAGTTGTGGAGAGACCATGACTGTTTCTACTCTATTCAGAAAGCCCTGCATGTTTGAGCATCGTGTTTCCTGCCCTCTCAAACCTGTCATTTACAAATCTGCTCTGGAGCCTGAACCACATCATGTATGATTTTTTTACTACTTATGCTCAAAGCAACATTTTTTGACCTCTGTACTTGCTGATAAATTAGTGTCTGGGTTGGCTACAGCACTGGTCTGCATTTCTCCAGATGTAACAAAGCTCACCCTGAGGCTAACAATCTGTTATTGCTAAACCCCAGCAATACTCTATAAAATACTACACAGGTCTTTTACATAACTTTTTCATTTCAAGGTATTTGTCAACTTCTTATGTCCTGGTTGCCCAAAAAAATGCTGGTGTGACATTTTTCAGCAGTCACAATATTCTTAAGAAGTAGGTGAAAGTAAACAACAACTTGTCAAAAATGGGCTAAAAATAGATCAGTGGAGATATGAACCATTGTCCTATCTAGGACAACTTATCAGGAATCTTAGCAAGCTGAAGATAACTTCTAATACATGGGTGGCTAAATACTTGTATTTTCTGTTAATTTTGACTCTACAGAAGAAATATTCATCATGTCCCTCGGGAAAAGATACAACGGATGAAAGAACAATACGAGCACAATGTTACCTTCCACAGCGTTCTTCAGTCTGAAAAACCAAGCAGAGATGAGGGAAACTACAGTGGACCAAATGCAGTTTATGGCATGGATACCCATTCCAATCCCCTTTCAGACTTTTCAAGGAGAAGACCTCACATGACACGTACAAACAACATGACATTTAACTGAAGAGGTGATTCCTTGGTGTGTTTTAATTATCAGGGTATAGAAGTCTCTAGTTTTAAATTTTTTCCTAAACTGTATTTTTCTACTACATTTCTAAATTACTTTTATTTCTTACAAATCTTTAAATGGCATTGGTCTGTACTCTCACAGCTCTACATGACCAATCTAAGAGTGCTGTCCCCAGTACAAATTGTACTCCCTCTCATCCCTCTTCCAGCAGGAATACCCATCCAAGCATATGGTGAAATTTACTGGCTCTGCCACAGGCATTTTGGATTATATTTTTCTGCATCACACTCTTGTCACTAACATTCCTAAATTATTTCTCTCTTAAAGGCCACGGGACCAATTCCTTAATTCCATCTCCATGCAACTGGTATTTCTTGCCCTTTTAATACTTTATATCTGGCCGTATAAACTTTTTGTATCTACTACTATCTTGCCTAGAGCATTTTTGTAACTTTTAGAGAGTCAAGGTGAATGGTGGCAAAGGTAGCTCTAACATTTGATGCTGTTCCCTGTCTCCACTGACTGGGTTCATGCCGGTCTTACCTCACAGCCAAGGAGCTTCTCCAGCCTGAAAGCAAAACACAAACACACCAGCCTGAGCCCTGCATCTTGCCAAGACATAGAAGTTCAATTGATCCTGAGATGGAGAGGCTCCTAAAATGAAACATTAGTGTCAGGCTTGTGCTTGTTAACTCTTTTAAGTATCAGGCTAGCAGAATAGGTCTGTACAGCTGAAGCCCAAGGCTATCAAATACACAAACTGACTCATAATGACTTAGTTCTTAAGAAAGGAGGAAAAAACCTGTTTTTGCCAAGGGGAGAAAACCTCTTCGGCCACTGACTGATGGATGAGTGGGGAAGGAACTATCCTGCTGTGGTTTTATCCATACCGTTACGTTCTGATGATTATGTCCTCATCAAGAAGCCTTGTGAAACATTTTTAAAACTCCACTTGTGATGTCAAATTTTTTAAGTAGGTGAGGATTATTAGGCAGTGCCTGTAGAACAGTGGTGAGGTATTTTGCAGTAGGAAATGAAGACAGCTCCCATGGGACATTAGGAAATATGGGTATAACTGTGATTCATCTAGCAATTTAGCAGAGAAGTCTGAGAAGTATAAAGAATCACGCTGTCTCTATGCAAAAGTCAGGCTGTCTTCAGAACACAACAGATGTACAAGATAAATTGAATTTTCTACTCAAAATGCATTAAAGCTTTAAGCATCATCATTACGAACAATTCTGAACTGGGAATGCAGGGAATCTGGTTCTGTAGTATTTCATAGAAGTTTACAGAACTACAGTTCTGCATCCTGCACTTGAGCCAAGTGAAGAGAACAGGAGCCCATGAAGGGTTGCTGAGTGGGAGCTGGTGGTGTCAGTTCTGAAACATTCTCCCTCCTTTGTACCGTGCCTGGTGGGAAGCAGCAGAGCAAAGGGCAGCCTGACAAGCAGCTGTTTGAAATGTGGAGGTGGCAGCCGGTCCAGCAGAACTATTTCCCTGTTGAAATTAACGAGAACAAAGTAATGAATTCAAGCACTATCTCATCCCCAGCAGAAAGATCTTCATCAAAGAAAGATCTGATTATCTTTCATGATGTTGTGGCCTCAAGTGCTTCTTTAAGGAGTAGCTCAGAAACACTGACCAAAGATTTATCACTAATACCTTTGTTTGGCATTTTGCTGTGAATCAAATAATCATAGCTGTTCTCTAAACCTTTTTTAGTGCTATATGGAAAGTCTGAGGAGAAAAGTAAAAGAACAGACCCTAATTACACAGAGCAACATTTCAGAATTAAAGTGTTTTGTACCATAAAAATAAGAGAACTATTTTGTTCTGTTCTTCTGATAGCCAAACAACTACTCTAATGCTGCAGAGGGTAACAAAACTGATTGCTTTAGACTGCAACAAAGATCCTGCTGTAATTTAAGAATACATCAGAATCCAAGCAATGGTTTACAAAATGCCATAAAACCCTAAGCCATACTGATGCTCTTGTACAATACATGTTTGTGAGAAGTGTGTAATTCCTGAACTTCAGACTATTTTGCAGATGAAATGTTATTTCATGAGTCTCTTTTTGAAATACAGCTTTATTAAATACAATCAAGATTTATTGTACAAAGTGTAAAAATAATTTGAATTTGAAATATATACAATACTGTACATGTGTGTTTAGTAGCATTTTCGGGACTTTTGTCTTTGTAGCACTCTGAGGGCTGCTAATGAATCCTGAGGTTCCTTTGGGTCCTTCTGAAGAGTCTCAGCTACTTCAGAACTGCTTTTTGATGAGTTATTTGCTTTCTCAGTAGACCTGGAACTATTTCTGGATGAAAGATCACCAGATAAATTAGTAGCTATTGTATTGCTGTTTTCATTTACATAATTAATCTTCTTTTCTTCTGGTAAATTATTCATGAGTGCTTGTGTGTTAATCATTGCCAGTTCTTCATCAGCAACCAGGTCATTCTCAGGAAGATGGACAGTTTCTCTCAATTTTCTACAGGGTGTGACATGACCAATATTGTGATCTGTCTCTTTTGATGACTTGCTACGCTGTAAACCCAAACTTCTTGGGGGCTGGAATGCTTTTTTAACAGATGGAGAAACTACTGAACGTATCGGTGTCAGTGGTGGAGGGGCAGGTATGCAACTGAGAAAGTCCATAGCTTTTCTCTTTTTGGCGTTTTTGAGATGGTCTTCACTAACTGCCGCAGGTGAAGGTGTTTTTGCAGACCCTGGTGTGACAAGTTTCATATATGGTGTGATAGTTGACAAAGGGCTTGGGTGCTTCATTTCGATTCTAGAAGAGATCTAGTTAAAAAGACAAAAGTTTGATGTCGAATAGAACATTCCATTTCATTAGGTTCCTCAATTACTTCCACAAAATGAGAAAAAATATCCTGATATAAAAAAACCTGAAGATAACAATACACACAAGACCGATGCTGCACAGCAAATCATTCAAACACACACTTAACTTGAGAATACTTTTCATGTCTCATTTATTTTAAATTGATTAATATATTTGGTAAACAGATAGAAACTAAATCTTCAGAATTAAGTATTAGCACTCCTTCTGAGATGGAAGGATGCTTTATAAGCCTAAATTTAGTCCCCAGGAACTGAAATCACATCAGTCCATCGCAACTAGTGGCAGGGTAAGCTTTTGTTCTGACTGCTCAGTACTCCACATCAGAAACGACTTGCCACCAGCAGCTTTCATGGGAAACTTGAGTTCTATTTAAAACAATTTTTGTCAAGATTGCTATAAAATGTAAACATTTACTAGGTGATACCTCTTCCCTTTTAAATCCTGGAAACAGTAAACAATATCTAGTTAAAAGACCAGGAGGTAAATTCTCTCGGCAGAAGTAAGAACTGCAGAATGCCATAAAAGAAGAATTTGCAGATCAAGAATTTTCCTTCCAGTGACGTTCACATCAGGTAATCCTGACAGTGTGACCAAGGAAGTAGCAAATTATCTATAGAGAAATGATGATTCATTTCCTCACATAAAATTTAGAATATTTAAAGTATGCCGTGGAAACACAGGCCATAAGGGGAAGTTTTCATGTACTGCTGGGAGGAAGAATAGTCTTTCAGTTCCTCCCGAGGAATAATAGTAAACCCACACAGAAGAAGTGTCTAATCAGTTTGCATTGCCCTAAAGCGAATGGATAGAGTGGACTGAGAAGTGAGACCATTCACCGCAGCCATCAGTATAGAACTTACTTCTATCCTTACTGCATGCACTGCTAGTACAAACATGGTATCAATTACGAGAAGCTTACCAAACTTTTATCCTCTGCAAAGTTGCGGGAAGGAGAGGGGTTTTCCAAGCCAGATCTTTTAGTTAAACTGGGTGTAAGCAAGAGATTTCTTTGTAGCAAATTCATCAATTTACTTTCTGCATCAGAGCAAAAGGAGGCCACATTCTGTAAAGGAGAACAGTTTACAATGCAGAATAGATGTTTTTCAAATTGTTTAAGTATATACGCTCACAAGGTATTTAGGACTTTCTTTTCTCACCATAAACCCACTAGAATATTATTTTACATCAAACCAGCAACTTGGAAGACTGCTGCACTTTCTGTTGGAGGGAAATATCATAACTACCTTTTATCATGAGCAAGAAAAAAAAATTCTTCTGTATTTAAACTTATTTTTCAGTAAGAAGTGGGAATGCATGAAATAAAACTGAATAAATGAAATAGATGAAATAGAATAGAAATAGATGAAATACAAATAAATGAAAAAATGAAATAGAAAACTGAAATAAAAAATAAATAAATGAAATCAACAATCCAATACTGAATAAACTCCACTGATTCAAGAGAGCAAATTTCAGCTTTTAAAAGGCTAGAGGCCAAACTGTAAATGACAGATTCACTACTGACAGATACAAGATGCTTTGCCAGTTGGAGCAGATTTTGTGGCACATCCTAAACACTGTGTTGGTTGAACTGAATTATTAAAAAAAAAAAAAAAAAAAAGAAATTCAGTAGGTCATATGTAGAGTCCTCCAGGAAAACCGCATTAACACCTTACTCCATCTCCCAGAAAATCCCCTCAAATTCAACCCTATGTGTATTACTTCTTTTAAAGATTTATTAGTACTATCAGACTTTCTGGTAAAGAATGTAGCACAGCAGTAACTAAAACTAATCATCAAACTAAACATCTCCATACTTACCTCTATCATACTTCTCAGTTCATTAAGCTTCTCTTGAAGATAGTTTTCCTTTGGACTGGCTGAGAACACAGAAAGATCTCCAGCCAACAGCACAGGAATTTCTGATTTGAATTCAGACTGCCACTGAAGGTTGCTTGCAGAAATGAGTGAGCAGCGGACAACTATATCTTCAACAGCAAGGTGTCTGAGATCTGTCCAGATCTTTACTGCCACGAAATTACAGTTTTCATCAGATAAGTACACCATAGTAGTGAAACCTAGAAGCAAGAAAAAAGTTTGAATTAAACCTTTTGCATCCTTAAGTAAAGGTTGATTACCACAATTTGTAGCTATAAAAAAAGGTCACACGCATCTTGAAAGAGAAATGATAAATGTTACATGGCAGCCTGTCTGCATGGTAACAGGTGTTTCATGCTTCACCCATACTCTACACCAGCTCCCTACAACTCAAAGTCTGTATTGCAGTGGCTAAAACCCAATATTCCTATGGTGCTTTTCCTTTTTATTCAGAAGATTATCTACATGTTCCTACCCATGAGCTCCCGTGCCTGTGTTCCACTCAATCCATGACACTGTACACCAAAGAGGGAGCTCACGTACATGCACTGCTGCAGATGCTGAACACAAATGTGAGAACTCACATCCACCATTTATAGAAAAAATAAAGAAAAGTTGCTCTTGAGCTTAGGTCCTGCCTTACTAACTTCCTGAGCTAATAAGCAGAGACAGTTCTGCTTTAGGAAAACAGAATTATCTGCCAGCATGTCATGGTGACGGGCTGTATTAGCAGGTTTTCACAGGCCCGAGGTGCAGTTACAATACCAAGATAACTTTGACTTCTGAATTCAGTTCTTATTCAATGGGAAGACATGAATGTGGTCCACAACGTACCTGTTCTGCTAACAGAAACTACAGCTCCGACTAAATCGACTTCAGCACATGGTGGCTGAAAAGAAGGATCCAACAAACTGGTGAATTTTAGAGTCTTTCTTGGAAAGAAAATCTGTACCAGCATCTCCTGTGATACCTTAAGAAACACAAAACTTCAGTGTTTACCACACATATAGACCATGATATACTTTAATGACACATCTTGACGCACTTAAAGCACTTACTGATAGTTGCAGATACTGAGTTTTCTTTGTTGCTGTTAATTGTATGTTAGTTGAGTCTGCCCTTCCTTTGAACTGTGATGCTGACAGGTGGTAGATTCTGTACCGACTGCCCTCCTTTAGCAATGAACAAATATCCAGCAGTGGACGCCAGATACTCAGTATCACTCCTACCAGTATCAAAATAAGATATATTAGCTGTGCAATACTAAATTGAAGGCTTCTAAACAAAATAAATCCACAACACTCCCTCCACCCAAAAGTCCTAAACCAACTGAAAATATTAACATGCAAGCTAGAATACTGTTGGGAGACTCTTCAGTTCTACCTACGTTGGCCAGTTACCATGTTTAGTTAACAGTTATTTATAATTTTTCAAGTACTAACCTTTATATTTTTCTTGCTTTCTGTAGTCTACCACACACAATTTCCATACAGCAGACACGTCTCTTTTGGAACAACCATTTTCTTCCTGTTCCGCTGACTCTAAAGCCTTCTTGAATTCTTCTTGCATCTGAGTTTGCTTTTTGTCATTCATCAACTGCCTGTAAGCCCTCAAAGCTTTT